ACCAGGATGAAAAGGTTGGGCCGAGTTCACCACAAAGTTAACCCTGATCTCCTCTTTGCTCTTTTTATGTTAAGCTCTGCCTTTAAATCTGCAATAACTCTTGCACTTACTGGAGTAGTTATCCTTTACAATGAAAGAACATATCTGTATAACTTAACAGGTGCTACATGTTAATCATTTTATGTAATGAATTTCCCTGTACAATGAAATTGTACAGGGAAGCATGTTTCCTTACTGTGCACATGACAAACACTTTGATTTGACTTTGATTTAATGCTTTAATTGGAGGTCTGTCTCGGCTGTTTGTCCCAATAATAACTATCTTGACATGCAGCTGTAAACGCTCTCTAATGCTAGATAGAGAATACTGTTGACATTTACAGTACAGTATGTGAAGCCTTATTGGAACAGAGTTGTAGAAGGAGGAGGAAAATATTTTTACCCCCTAAAGTTTTATTTTTATGAGATCTTCACTGCTCTTTAATAGAGGAATATCCTAGATAATTAAACAATACTATCAATTTATAGCCATCAAGGTTCAGTTTCAATTATTTTAAACCGTCTCTAAGAAATCATATTTTTGGCACTTTGTTAAGGTGGATGACTTTCAATACTACAATACCCATGAGGCCTGGCTGCTATTGCTATGGAGATGACTGACAGACAGACAGACAGACAGACAGACAGACAGACAGACATAATCCTTAGTTTCTATGTGGTGCACCCACAGTTTTGAGCTTGGTGATTTGATGTTTGACCAAAATGCTTTGATTTTTCAGAACAAAGATCCTCATACTTCAGATACTCATACTTTGTACTGATTTAACTAAGAGAATTGTATAACCCTCCAAGTGCTCTTACTGTTATAAAACCCTAGAACATTTATTACAGTAATGGAGAGATGCCCCAAAAAACCTCCTCCCACTTTGCAACTCTCCCTTCTTTCTTTCCTGCTGTTTTTTTTCTCATCACCACTTTACCTGTCAGACATCACTGTTCCCTTTTTTTCTTATTTTATACCTTCATCCAAAGCATCTGAAGCTTCTGCTTCCCTCCTCCTCCTCACGGCTCTTTGTTTCTCTTCTAGCCTCTGTTTTTCGGAGTTGGCTTCATCCCATCGCCCATCTTCCATCAGCCTCTGATCTGGTCTCAAACGACTGTCAGTCAGTCCCACTCCCTCCTCTGGCTCATTCAGGGTCAGTGCCAGCGCAGAGAAGTAATACATGTTCTCAGCATTCTTTCTGTGAGGATTAGGAATTTGAGGGGAGTCACAGAGTTTGATGGTCTCCCATTAGTGATAATGACAAAATATTGCAGGTGCTTTACAAAAATAGTGACTTGTATATTGAAGTGTTCTTCCTTACAAACCACATGAGACAAGCACTTACGGGAGAGGGTATTTCTTCCACAGCAGTTTGGGGGACAAAGTCTGATAGACGGTCTTCTGCTTGCCCTCTGATCCACTGCCCCCTCGGCTGCTGTGAATGATCTTGGCACTCTCCATCTTTTCATCCCATGTACCAGAGAGGATGTAGTGAGCCTGGCCCCCACTGTCTGCAACCACACCTGTCACCTGGGAACAGCACAATGAAATAAGAAAACAGAATCCAAATCAGTAAATACCAAGAAAGGCAAACCTAATACAGTGACACTCTTCTTTATTACACTAGTCTAAGTACCAATATATTTGTTGGGACTGTCCAGCAGGAGGCAGTATCACACAAATTAACCCTGCATGTATGATGTCATACCAAAGCCTGGCATCAACAACATGCCGAAAAGGAAGCATTTACCTTCCGTGGAACGTCCCTGGAGAAATAACTGTAGGGAGAGAACTTAAGTTGGCAGGTCTCCTTGGTCCTGTGGTTCACAATCTCAATGTCCCCCGACTGCACAAATACACAGACAGAGAGAATAATAGCACATTTGTGTTAGTAGATTTCATCATGTCACAGCATGTGTACTTGTAGAAGATAATAATCCTGAACTAAACATGGTAAACAGTATGACAGACCAGTAAAAGTGGAAAACTGAACAGTTGGATGGGACGAATCAACAGTTAGATGTGATTTGGACTTAAGGTTTGTTCCATTTCCTAGTTCCATCTTAAAGACCCTTGTGACCAATTTTCTGAATCAGCGTCTTACTACAGTATAGGTAAGTATAATAACTACAATATACAGTAAGTAATCCTATAAAAATACACTAAAACACACATGTTCAGGCACCTTAAAAGTACTATGTGTAGTCTCTGACTACTACTGTCACAGTAGGGCCATGTTTTGATGTGCAGGTCCCTGTATTGTTTGTGTCGGTTCTACCAGGACATGTATGTGGTCATACAATAATGGGTGGCAGCACGATGAACACTTGTGGCTTTACCAGAAGATCATGGCTTTCAAGGCTCATGCTTAACGTGTGACACACAGTTCTGTCTTCTGTGGCATCTAACAATCATAAAATTAAAATCTCAAGAACTATCAAACTGTCAAGCCAATTAAAAAGTGCTGCTGTAATCCTAGTTCAGTAATATTATATCCAGTGTCAAAGCCATGCGGATCACTGTGTCTAGCTTTAGTTGCTGTGCTCCTGACTGCACTGTCAACCTTAGCAGTGGCTGGCAGTAGAAAGTACAGTAGCATAGCAGTTTCCATAGTTTGCTATGGAGGTGTTTGGCTGATCTTGTTCCGCTCCAGAGGGCAGCATGGTGGCAGAGCAATGTAGCTGGCAGTTGCAAAAGTACTGAACAAAGTAAGCAAAGCAATAAGCAAAAACCAGAGTACGTCATTTTCTTACAGTCTCCTCCTCCTGTACAACTGGGCCATCTCACAAAAAGATGAGGCTGTTATTTTAGGGTGTTATTAGAGACCAAAGCTTAAGATAAATCCCTAGAGACTGTGAAGCTCCTTGTTCATGTGCTGTAAGGCTTTGTTTGATCCTCTTCCTCACAATGCTCTGAACAGTCAGTCTGTACCACACACTTTAGCAAAACAAGAGGGCAAAAATATCTATAGGCTACTCCAGGTTGTGGGTTTGGAAATGTGAATGAATGGCTACCAATAAGAAGTGCTTACAAACTGACCTGGTCAATCCACAGCTTGCCCACAATGATGTTATGTACTGTGGAGGTGACCTTTCTCCACACATAGTGGTTCCCGCTGGAGTGGAACTGCAGGTGAATGACACCTGGGGAGGGACAGGGACATAAGGCTGTAAGTGAAATGATATATCATAGCTGCTTTGTTACCTGTGGTCTGCAACTGAAGACCTGACAAGTGTGCTAGATTATTGTTTGCTAAATCTGTTTTTAAATACAGTCAGTTCTACCTGCAGCCACTGAAAAATGTACTATCTAAGGCATTTATGCCCTGTGCACAGGAAATACATTTCCACCTAATCTAGTGCAGCCAAACCCTGGAAGATTGATTGTATTTCTCCATAAATGCTTCCACCTTGAAGATTTTTCTATTACATGGCAGCTCACAGCAGGTGTATGACAGGAAGTGAGAGAACTTAAATAAATTCCACTGCATTCACTGGCTGGACCTTCATCTATCAAATGCCTCATCTATTTGAGCCAAAAGACCCTTGCTCTCTGCCGTCCCACTGCAATAGAGAGCTCCCTTTATGCTCATACTTTATGTATGTGTCACAGGGATCATAAAACCCTCTTGATTCATTCTTATACAATTTCCTCTGCTTTAGATTGTGTGGGAGACAGATCGGTGCTTTTAAGTTGGATGTGGATTCCTTCTTAACTTAACTTTGTGCTGTGGCTTTACACTTTATATGATGGAATCTTTATGGAACATATAGTTTACATACCCAGAGGCATTATGGAGAGGTATTTTCCACGGAACTTGCTGGCAACAGTGATTTCCTGCCACAGGGTCCAGCCTCGTTGGGAAATCACATGATGTGCAGCTGCAGGGGGGTGATGGCTCACCTTAGAATGAAATACATAAAGGTAAATTAAATTGTTTCATATAAGCAGCAACCGCTTAATTTGTTTGGAGAACACACACCTTACTGTATCTATGTCCGTTTATACATCAAGTGCACACATGGGCCTCAGTGATAGTGTAAACAAAAAACTCCCTGTGGCTGCACCATTACCTGCTCACACAGCGAGCGGTAGCCAAACTCCTCCAGACGATCGAGCTCATAGGTCTCACCCAGGAGGGGGTTGAAGGGCTTGGCTGTCCGGTGGACCGTAGTGGAGTATGCTGAAACGGTGAAGGCAGCGACCAGGCACATCTGCTCCAGGGAGGACTCACAGCGCGCTGCCTTGTCCAGAAGCTCATGATACTCCAGGTCCTCAGTAAGACGCTGTAGCATTGATAGAGGCTCATTGAAGTTCACCTGAATGGAGAATAAGGAAAAAAAAAAAAGCTACCCTGTCAGCAAGAACGATCACCATGCCTCATACACTTACAGGCATAGGGATCTTGGAGAGTTCCTTGCCAATGCAGTTCTTCATAATGCTCCATAAATTGAGGGAGTAGTTGGGTTTGTCTGGGATATGAGTCCGCCTCTGTCTGCGGGGCTGCAGCTCCTTCCCTGACACATTGTTGTAGCTTGGAGACATCTGGGAATATGTCAGGGGAAAGGGATGGAGAATGGGGTGGTTGTATTTTAACTTTGTGTAAAAAAGAATATTCATTATATAAAAGTTTGAGAAATACATCCAACTTCATGGGCAGTTTGGCAGCATATCACCAGACACAGTGGCACAGCAAGGGAAAGACAGGAGGAGAGGGAACAGAAGACACAGATGTGTAAGAAAGAGAAGGTAGAGGACAGCAGATGTCTGAATGGTAATTAAGATTTAGTGGAATGATGCAGCTGTGCAGCTTTGGCACTACAGGGGTGACAGTCACACTACAAGAAACACAGAAAAAGCATTTTGTGTGTGTGTGTGTGTGTGTGTGTGTGTGTAAGAAAGGAGGACTGTGAGAAAAGCAAGTGAAGTTAGGTATATAAATAAACTGAGCTCTCCAGCAACACAAATGCATCTATATTGAAAGTACAAGAGTCAGTCCTATTAGTCAGACTTATTAGGAGAACAGATGTTTACGTGGTCGTCTTGGTTCCAGTCACCGGGCTGACCTCCACTTGCTCCACTCAAATTACTCTGAGATCGTCTGGAACAGAGTGAAAATAATTTTGTTAATGAGCACTGGGCACATATGTCCATTTCTTTATCTAGCCTTTACCCCCTGCACACACACACACACACGTGCGCGCATTATAAACACAATACACAAAATGGAGCAAAGAAATTGCTGGGTATTGCAGATGAATGCTGTGTAACAGCTTCCATCATTTTTAATGGCGCTACTGGAGTCAAGGGATATTTTGCAAGAGATGAGTCATAAAAATGATGGGGAGGAAGACACTAAAAGTACCCAAGACATTTTTAAAAAAGTAAAGAAAGATTGCAGCCCTGAAAAACAAGCAGATGCCAGAAAGAGGTCGACTCCAATGCAGCAAACAACTATGCTATAAAATGTTTTGAGAGGGCACAAACAAGGACAGAAAATTATTTGCTTTGCTGCAGGACAGCAGATACATATTAGGGTCCTATGTTATTTTTATCTACATAGCACAGAGTGAACATATCTGACATTTTTCTATGTGAAGGTTAAGTTGTCAGATCGCATCACAAGAGCCTTGCTCAGCTGTCAAATTCACTATGCACAGAAATGGAAAAGAAAGAAAGAAAAAACAACCTTCTTGCCTGTATCTGTCAATAAGGTGTCCAGCGGAGACTAACCTGTGCTGTGTGCTCTCAGTGGCAGTCACTGTTATAAATGCAGGGGAATCCTCCATGGCATCGAAGTACTCAGTATCCTCATCTTCATCGCTTGCCTCTTCTTTATGCGGCCTCTCACTCCCTTCAGTTGGGACACAAACATTTGTGAGTACATGCAGACAGCAGGCAGCCCTAGCAGAACTATCACATGCTGCTGAGTTTGTATTCAGCAGAGTTCGGGAGAGAGAAGCATATAATCACATACCCATGCCAATTAATCAAGGAATAATCAGCTTAGTAAAACTGGCACTGTTTGTGCTGTTTAACAAGCCTGAATGAAGCAAGTTCCTCACAACGTGCTTCTCATATTCAGTATTTATCCGAGTTTCAGTATTCAGTATGTTTAGTGATTTGTTATGTGCATAAACTGGAACTGGAACAAGGAAGCACAAATCCTTACATCAGGTGATTGCAGTGTTTTCTGATGGAAACTGATTATAATAAAAAAGGAGAGTAAACTATGACCTTCAAACAACTACCACTGTGAACAAAATTGTACTGTTTTATCAAATAATAGCTATAAGGACAACATAGTTTCTTGTCCTTATTCTTTTAAATTCTGCCTCTGTTAAATGTTAATATCGAATAATCCATCCTATGAATGTGTATTTAGTAAAAGATGTGATTTGCCTCAAACAGTGAGTCAACAAATAAAGCTGAACTGAGAGGTAATTCAAGTTTATATTTTATGTCTAGGGTTATATGTTTTTTTCACCATTCAAATACTTAAAGAAGAAAACACTCATCTCTCTGGTAAGCAGTTACCTTTATAGCCAACATTATACTGTGTAGCTGAGAAAATACTTTATTGTAATTTTGTAATGACAAATATCTGAAGAACTGGACAGAGCGTGGCAGAGCATCGCAGATCATAGTAGAGCAGGGAGAGAGAGTGCTGGGCAGAGCCGAGTGGATTGATTTGGAGTTTCATGCTAGCGCTACCTTAAGTTACATATTGTAGCGAAGGTGATGAGAATGACATTAGTTTTGCAGGTATTTCGTCTAAAAACAAAGTACTACAAGTAGGTAATCAAAAATGTTTGATTTAACGATTGGCAAAGTCATTAGAATTCATCCTCCATGGGATATGATAGTACCAAATGTCATGACAATCAACCCTAAATATCTCTAAATGTCTCTAGAGTAAATGTCAGAAGTGACCAAAGTGTATGTACAAAATGTTTCAATTCATCTAGCAGCTGTTGAGATATTTCATGTTGGTGGCACTAGATAAAAGGTCAGGTGATCACCAAATTAGTTAGGATTAATCCTCTGGGCTCCATGAATGTTTGCAGCAAATTTCAAAGCAATCCATCCAATAGCTGTCAAGATATTTAAGTCTGACCAAAGTAGTAAAGCGACTGAATGACAAAGTGATGCCACCCCTACACCCATGTCACTAGCATACTGAAAATTTCTCTAGTCCATGTTTATTGGTTTGTGTATTTATGTTTATGTGTGTGTGTTTGTGTCTTTTAGGAGTGGCTGGATTTGCGCTGCAGAGGTGTTCGCAATGCCAACGCCTACATCCTGGTGTATGACAGAGCTTTGAATATGTCAAAATGATCAGACAGCAGAGAGTGGAGCACAGGTACAGTATGGTCAACCACACACATTTAGCAAACATACAATCACTGACATGCAGTCACACTACTTCCTGTTTTTGTATTGAATGCCGTTTTAAGCTTTTATTTTACAAATGGCAGTGCTGCTATTTTTCTTGAGAATACAGTCTTACTAATTATTGGTAAGGTCATGGGGTCACTAAAATCACTAAAGTCTTTGTAAAAATGTGTGTGAGGTGCACGGTGAGGAGATTTGAAATTGTTAGAAGAGACCACAGGACATAGAGTGCAGTCCTCGGTAAAACTAGTTGCCATCTCTAACTTAACTATAATCCAGACCTTCTGACACAACTTCTTCTCCTTCCTCCACATGAAAAATGTCTGTAATATTGAGCCTGAGGTCACACGACTTTTATTCAGTAAAGTGAGGCTCACAGACAGTCAGTCTCACCCTTGTTGGTGGTAGGGGCACTAGGTGTGCTGGAAACAAGCGTGGGTGCTTCTCTCCACGCCCGCTCCAGGCTGTTATGCTGTTTGGCTAGCTGCTCAATAGTCTCCTCTAGGTGTGTACGCTGCTCTCGCTCATACTGCAGCGCCCGCTGCCACCTCCTACTGTGAGTCTCTGCTAGGTCCAGGAAGTCTCGACACGCCTGAGGGGGAACACATGCACACAAGTACATAAACACACAGAAAGCACTGAAAGTTTAATGAAATATTAAACAAATTCAATCTACAGTCTGAAAAAAATATCAACATCCTCAAAAAAATCTGTCGTTACTTTTCATTTGCTATGACTAAAAGCTCAGATTTTGGCACTAAAAATACTGCAGTGTCCTCAAATAACTCTTCTCCTCACATCTTTGAAAGGAAGGTCACTTTATTTGGTTGCTGTTCAAGTCTAAGTGATACTTTATTGAAAACAAAACCATTACAATCAGAAAAACTATATGAATGCTTTCATCTTTATTTAAGTCAACAGATAATACTACACAGAAAAAAAAATAGGATATCATTTTTCTGGTGTTTGACAACAATATAAGAAAATTGGGTTGGAAAAAGGTGTGAAGACATTTGTGCCAATCATTGTAACCAGGGCTCTCTCTCAAACTGCTTCAAACAATCATCAATATGTTAATTAGCCGTCTGTGCAGCATTTACAGGGTCTCCCTGCTGTGTCAAATATGCCTCGAAGCAAACATCGGTGAGTGATGAGCTGATTGCATAGCAGACTATATTTGAGTCAAGAGGGGGCAACATTGTTACTGCTTTGGTTTTTACTGTGGAGACAAAAGGTTACTTCAGATCAAACAAATATTATATGTCAGCACTTGTGGGCACTGCATCATGTGTCTGACATCTATGCCTCACTGTGAGCTCAAAGGTCAATGAACCTAAATAACACCTCACTGCTGACTGCTTGCATGATGAAAAGGTCATGTGACCGTCACTGAGCTGTCTGCACGCAGGCCCTCAGAGGAAGGGTAATCATTTTGAAACTGCTGTACACTGATAAAGTAATTTTGCGGTATTTTGTGGAGGCATGTTCTTTCCCATATGAGTGGAACAGCACATTATTTCATTCAGTGTTTTCAGCAAATATCTCTTTGGTCTCAGAGCCAGAGGGATGGTTGAGACTTTGTGTGAACCTCCTCGATAAACTTGTGGCTGCAGGCAGCGACCAGGACGGATGAATGTGTCACACAGCCCAGATCACCTCTGTTCCCTGGCTGGTGAGAGAGCAGCCACAAGGTGCAGGATGGCCTTTAGGCAGCAGGAACAGAAACACGGATGCGATAACGCCTTAAAATGGAATATCTACCCGTCTATTGAACAAATGGTTCTCTCTCACAGGCACACAATATTATACTGTCACTTAATATTTAAAAAGGTATCATTTTTTTGTAAAAATTTCAAAGCAATTTCTAAAAATCCCATCAGAATATATGCAGTATGTGTAATGAGCCTTTCATTTTACCAAGTAACTAAATTAATGCCTTCAAATATAAAAAATGTAATGTATTGTTCATTGTACCATTTTATATTGATAATATTTAATTTTAACCGAGTAAATATGTAACCATATTAAGTTTATTTGTTGTCTTGTAAAATATCATCACTGACATTTCCATGTTACATATGAGAGTCCAGATTTTCCAGTCTTGAACAGATTAAGTAGTAATGAACGCATGCAGTCAGGTAATTATTATACATATATATGAGATTATTTCTGGAGTGTTTTAGCTTCACTGGCAAAAGACCAAAAGCCTAGATATTATTGAATACATCAGTCTTTAAAAAATATATTTTCATGACTTAAACAAGAAAAGTCTAATTATTTTGCTCAAAGCACAGTATGGAGATCACCAGATGTCTAATCATTACTAGAATCATGTCCAGCCAGTCTCTTACCTTCAGGAGCCTTGTATCAAGTGTCTAAACATGAATGTCTGGGCCTCAGCTTAAATGTTAGATGGCCATGTGACACTGTGGTCCACTTCCTCAGACATAACCATGACATGAAACTCAGCATTCGCTTAAAGAAGTACGACAGTTCCACTTTTTTATGCTGAGTCTCTGGTACAAACACAGACTGCATGTGACATCCGGTGAGGGAAGACGGGCTCAAAAAATGAATGGGCACAGAGGAATGAATGTGTAATTAACAAATGCCAAATTGAAAGACGTAGTGAGAATGAGCAACGGTGTAAAGAATAAAATAATCTTGAGCAATACGTGATTAAATATACAAGCCTATAGTGGTAGGTATGTAAATACATGCATACACAATCGGACAAGAACTTGGACTCAATGACACATGTGAGAAGTTACATCACTGCTAAATGAACTAGAGTGCAACCCTCACCTCAGGCCAGGGTCAGATCACTAAGAGCATGCATTTGTGTATATTCCAGTTTCTTTGCAAAGGCTCATAAAAACTACATTTATATTTTAGAGCAAAGCACGTGTTTTTACAGTGGCTGAACCCACAGCAGCAGAAATCCAGATATGTTGCTTTCTACTTTAAGAGACCCATTTACAATACCAAAAATGACTACAGGGAGTTTGTAGTAGCACTTATTTTTCATTAGAAGCACATTCTAGGCAAACCCGATGGTGTTTTAATGAGGTGGGCCATCCGAGAAGCTCTATTTCACTGCATGTCCAGTAAGTTCCCACACCAATTTAAAATATGGATGACAGAAAGAAACAAGTGGCTCATCATTTCGAAAACCAGCCTTTCACTTAATTCAGTGCAATCTAGATTAAGACTTTTTTCTCATTACCCTATGGCTCTGGTCACTTAACAAGTACAATTAGCACATAGTTTAGAACTAATAATTTCTCACTGCTTAATTTCAAACTAAATCTTATTAAGGTAAAAGAAAATACTAGCAGTTCAACCACAGCTAAGTCTGACTAAATTATTTTATACCCATCAACCAGATAAGAAACAGCAAAATCAGTCAAACATGCATTATAGGCAAAAAAAGGGCGTCTCCAACCCCACTACGAAGTTATCAACAGTTCAATGCCACAGAGAGAATCAGGAAGAAAGACAAACCTTGTATGATTGCCTGGCCTTAGTCAGAGCAGGTCTGTCTGTCTGTCTGTCTGTCTAACTGAGGTCCAGAAGGCTCTGACATTCCTCGTCTAGCATGAATGTGTGATGGCGTTCGTGGGATGGGGTGGGGGTGGGTTGCTATTCCTGTCGCCTCCACCCACTATTATATCTAGTATATCTCCTTTAGGACCGCAACCCTCCCTGAACTCTTGTCCACTACTAACATACTATAAAGCCAATGGAATTTACCATTGAGGAGAGCAGAGCAGGGCCAGAAACATTACACAGCTTCTTATGCTAGTAATCCGATAAGGCACATCTAACATAGTGGTAACTGAAAACCTGGTCATGTTGATTGTCGTGTTATGTTAAATCTAGCAGACAAACTAACTGCGGTTTAGGGCAAACTGCAATATGTTATTCTGAAAGATTCTGTTGCTACCACTAGACTCAACTTCAAACAAAAAACACAGCAAACCACCATCAGCACTGCAGTTAGACTACCATCTTATTTCTTGACCATAATTTTAAAGCATTAAGTTAGAGACAGTTATGTTTAAGGTTAAACAGGATCTGTTGCGGTGTAAAACTCCTTGTCTAAATGTGCAGCCTCTGTCCCTGCAGCTCAGTGGCTCTCATGCACCACACTGTGAAGCGATCTCCTCTCTCATAACTCATTAGGACATTACAGACAACTGGCATCCCTGTCACATTCATCCTGCAGAAGCATGCAGGAAGCAGATCATTCTCTGCTCACTACTTCTGCGTTCTGTACCCTGGTTTGTCCCAGATACTTACATTGATCATAGCATTGGAAGTGATGCGGAAGAGGGTGGCTCGCTCGTTGACTGCTTTGATCTTCTCTCCTCCTTCCACAGGGACTTTCAGAGCCTCAAGTTCGCTCAGGGAACGCTGTAGAGCCGCCCCATGCTTGGCAATGAGGTCATTGCATGTGCTGAGATCATCGAGCTTGCTGACGAGTATCTTCAGGGTGCCCTGAATCTCACTGCGGTCTGACTGGGATGTGGGCTCCTCATCCCCCGAGTCATCTGTAAAGGAAAGGTCAAAGGTCATACAAACTATCTTGATCAAAATGGCACAGAACTGGGAATGTACTGTACTTTATTTATTTAGTAAGATTTCAACACATTCAGTTGCCCTGATGCTAAAATTGAGCCCTTTAATATTAATACCTGTATTTCCAATTAGAGATGTACTGACTTGTCTTTCACTATGGTGAACAAATACCCACACTCTCCGTTGCTCAGTGACCTCCACTGATAAACATAGTGTTAAACTGCCACAGCGCCAACACTCTGTTTACTTATTTTGGTGTTTAGGTGATATTCATTAAATGAGAAGATTTATAAAAGACCAAAAAAATGTTTAAATAACAAAAGCTACCTAGTCACCATGACAACAAACTATTCAACAATTGCTTGTTCCAGTGCTGTAGGTTTTGTTAACTGAACGCCATTAGTGTGATTTAATAAACAACCTCCCGCGACACACAAATACACCCAAGAAACAGTGACACACTACATGACTGCTCTGACTGCAAGCAAATATTCTTGGAAACTTATCAGCTGCAAACTGTATCAGGAGATGTGCATATGGCTATCTTGTTCACACATGCGCCTTTGCTGTAGCAACTGCCTTTCTGTATGATAACACTAAAGACAGGTTACTCAAGGTTAAACAGCATCTGCCCAGAAAGGTTAAACAGAGCACAGAAGAACAGTGCTGCAGCGTCAGCTCTGTTACACACGCACACTGCAACCACAAGCACGTCTCCATAAACAGCCCACTAAGGAAAAATTCACAAATAAAGCAGAACTGCACACTTTCTGAACTGAAGTGGATTTATACACAGCTTTCTAGCAGAGTACATTTTATTATGTAGGTCTTTTTTTTAAATAGGAAAACTCCTGGGAAGACCTGTGTTAGATTTAGAAACATTTGCACACCTGTGTGTCTGATCTGAATTCACACAGAATGATATTTTCCTAGACGAACTTTATCTGTATTTCTATTTTAATAAATGAAGCTAACAAAACAAGCCCATTATGACACATTCTGGCTTGTATAAAAGCAGTAACATCCCACCAACCATACAACAGGAATGACAAACTATTACTGCTAATGAAACAAAACAAAAAAAACAAATGACAAAGATGACGATGGAGGTGCAGGAGGAGGACATGGAAAAAAGGACACTGTATATCTCTACATGGAAAATATATTTGTTATGCTTCCGGTGTAGAGAAAACGTCTCTCTACAATCTACCCTGTTAAACCTCTAATGCCCTACAAAGTGCTGTTCTGTTGCTTTCTGCACCTTTTGGTGTAGAGCACGCTTTGTCACACGCTATGTAGCTGGTAGGAGAGACTGTTACGTTCTTGGAGAGGCAGCACTACATTCAACACCTTTTCGTAAGACGATGGTGGCTACATGTCACCTGAGACTATCACCTCTGTAAAGCCAATTTACACAGCGCACGCACAACATTGCTCTTTGCCTGAGGAATGCTGGGAGTAGTCTCAGGACTACATTATGTAACAGCAGAGGTCATATTTAACTGTGACCTTTGTTCAGTGAAACATCCGGCTCCACTGAGAAACAAGCAGCATGGAGACAAAAACACGTAGGATTCATCCTCAAGTGGAGTTGGAGACTAACATGCAAAAACACTCATTCATTCAATCAATTTCTACCGCTTAGTCCCTGAACGGGGTCACGGGCAAAAACACTCAAATGTTCTCAAAATCTTTTTGTTTTTTTTTACGTAAACTGAATACTGTGAACAAGTTAATTTCTAATCCTATTGCAGAATTTATCTTTTAGAAGCTTTAAATTTTAGTTGTTGACTTACTAGTCAAGGCAAACATGACAGTATCAAGAGTAAACCCTATAAGATACTTTGAGGCCAAACCCAATTTAAATATTTGTTTTAAAATTTTTATAACTAAATACTGCATATCCACAGTTTAACATAAACACATACAGTAATATAAATAGTTCTGAAAGCTTAAATTTGGTCAAAGAACAGCAAAAGGTTTGGTGGCTCAGTGACCCAGACTGAAATATACAACGATTAGATGGACTGCTATGAATGTTCATACAGGCAGTAAGCACTGTAGCATGTGCAGGGGACTCTCCTGTCGGAAAATGATATTCCACTAAACACTGTATACTGATGCCACTCAGTGTGGAGACAGATATAGCACTACAGGGATGTTTTTAAAAGATGGCACAAATTTGCATCTGCGTTTACAAGAACAATCATCAGGCTCCACCCGGTACATATTTGATGCAGTTTGAGATATAGGATACAGAACATAGTCAGGAGCAATGGTGGAAAGGTAACTGCTGATTTCTCTGAGAAAAGCATATTCTCCAGGATACAGAATTTAAAGAGTAAAAACAGAATGGGTTCAATGAGATTCTGACAGAGTACAATGAGTGTAGTGAGGAAGAGAGAGCAAGCTTCCTCACAGTCTATTGTTTATTTTGTGGTTTGCATTTTATTGATGGTATGGCACATCAAACCTATTGTACAACACCATGTCCAAATGGAAAAGATTTGTGTTTGGAAATGACAGAGTAGGCAGCAAATGGGGTACAGAGTCAGTCAGTTGTGAGGGTGGAGACAACAATGGTAATGAGAGACGACAAGAGTTGTATGCAAAGTTGTACAGGAACATGGACAGGAAAAGAGTGGCAAGCCTGTCCAGTGCAGAACCTTTCACACCGTTCCCATTGCTCTCTTTAAAGGCAGCTGGGCTTATGTCAGATTCCACGATGCTGCAGGTCTGCACTTCCTCTGCAGCAATCTCACTGCATTCAAAGCTGTGCACAGGGCAGAGATCGAGCTGTGAACAATGACATTCTTGTCTCTTATTTTCTTGCAGGTTGCATTATCAATCTCCTATGGTGTGCTCTTTCAAATAAAGTATGTGCTTGCCATGAATGAAAATTATAATTAGTATGTAAGGACCTTGGTTATAAGCAGCACATAATGCATCCTGTCATCAGGCTTCTTCAAAATCCATGATGTGTATCAGGATGTAGCAGATGAAAAAGCAAATGATTACTGACCCCTAGTACACTCCTCAGTGAAATCAAACCAAAAAATGAGACAACTTTCTGTTTGGATGGAAACTAAGGTGCCTAAATAGCAAAGTCACCACTAACCGACATGCACTAACCTCCGCATCACAACCACATTTGAGAGTGTGAAATTACAGAGAGGGACCTGGATAGTTTTAGGTAACATTTATTTATAGGGACAGTAGGTGATATTAGACATTTTAGAGGTGCTGTAAGGGGAAAAAAGAGGCATGGAGAGCATTTACAGTAAAACATTTAAATACTAGTGTATTCATACAAGCTAGTGATTTTTTTTTTTTAAATCTAAAATGACATGTAGACATGGGACATTTGAAGCTAAACTATGTGAAGACTTTGCAGCACTGCAGTGAAGACTTGGTCATATTATTCACCCTCATTCTGCCAATGAGTTCAGCAGCTCTAAGCAATGTCACTTAAAAATAATCTGTCACATGAACCAAGGCATATTTGTGTTTTGAGACCCTGCTTACAGCACATCACCTGCAAAACTATTTTAGAAAATACATACGGTAGTTGTAAACTGGAGGAACACATACTTTGACTATTGGTACTACAGTGTAGACAGCTGGTAGCTACAAAGAGAAACCAGGACACAAAGGCTTCTTCGATCTAATAATATGCCACAGATAACTGAGCCCGATCCATATAGAATCGATAAAATGTCAAGGTCTACTGGACAAGTTTGAATACTGGAGATGAACACACTTTAAGACGTTTAAACATATTTTGTCAACTGTATATCACACAGACCCAGAATAAAAAGTGAATACTGGGCTTTACATTAAACCTATACCAGTAAATTGCCCATCTACAGTATTTTGTCGGTGCATCAGCTCGACCCCTCACATCTCCAACAGATGTGGATGGATGGCTCTCAGTAGCAAAGTCAATACCACGAGGAAAGGCCAGGAGCCCATTACCACTCCAGTCATGCATCAAGGGCGGACTACCTTCCCCCACAGTCTACCACCTCAGACAACACCCTGCATCAATATATATGCAAGTGTTTCCAGTTCCTGCCATGCCTATATAATACCCTTCTCCTCAGAAGTTGTATTTCAAGCAAATATCTCAGTTTGAAGCAAGCTGAGTGTATTTAGTGGCAGCATTTCAAAATATAAATACATGACAGCCTTCCTCCTTAGCACCTTAGCTCCTTCCTTGTTGTCCTTCTCAGCACAAAATAGCGAGGGAGAGGGAAATCACAGGTGATGGGAGGATGCAATTGGGAGAGCAGCACTATGCTATCCCATATCCAGGACTTGTCTCTGTGCTCATCCCTGAGGACAGGCTGTCAAATCAGTGGAGCCAGGCCTCCAGGTGACAAAACATCGCCATGTGGCAGAGAGACGTGCACATCAAGCAGCCGAGCACATGGGAGAAGTGTGCTGCACCTCTGGGTTAAAGATGCTTTTTAAAAATAACTAGGTGATGTGCCTATAAAAAAGCAAATGTAAGCAGGTGTTATTTCGCAAGAGCAGGACAACAAATTAATGTTGTTGGTGAACACTTGAATCAACGTTGCATCCATCCATTCATTATCTATACTGGTTATTCAGGAAGAGGGTGCCTGGGCGGGTGTAGCCAATCCCAGCTGACATTGGGTGAGAGGCGGGGTACACTCTGGACAGGTCACCAGTCTATCACAGGGCTGACACTTAGAGGCAGACAACTACACACACACCCCCACACTCATTCCTACTGGAAATTTAGAGTCACCAGTCAACCTAAGCTGCATGTCTTTGTACTGTGGGGGGAAGCCGGAGTACCCGGAGAGAACCCATGCAGGCACAGAGAGAACATGCAAATTAGAAACACAGGAACGCCCCAGGGCAGCCGGGGCTCAAACCTAGGACCTTCTTGCTGTGAGGCGACAGTGCTAACCACTGTTCCTGAATTAGTAGTATATATATATAT